TTGACAGAGAGAGACACAGCGAGAGAGGGAACACAAGCAGGGGGAGTGGGAGAGGGAGAAGCAGGCTTCCCGAGGAGCAGGGAGCCCGATGTGGGGCTTGATCCCAGGACCCAGGGATCATGACCTGAGCCGAAGGCAGAAGCTTAACAACTGAGCCACCCAGGCGCCCCTCTGGTAGATATTTTATAACACAAGAAATTTGTGTGTATATCACACAAATAAGGACAGAAACTGAAGGTAGATTCCTTGGTTGTTGAAGAGTGAAAGCAAACGGCAGTGAATTAATCTGAACCTACATGGAACCTCATCAAACCTTGTAATGAATCCAGATACATCTCAAATCTGCCGTTCCCTCTGAGATAGAACCACACTGACCAAGGTCTAGAATATCATCAATGGCCAGTTCTGTGCCTTAAGATTAGTACCAAAGAAATGTTCCTGAGGAACTTTGATTAAATAGGATTTTTTTTTTAAAGATTTTATTTATTTATTTGACAGAGAGAGCGAGAGAGCACAAGCACGGGGAACATTAGAGGGAAAGGGAGAAGCAGGCTCCCCGCCAAGCAGGTAGCCTGATGCAGGGCTCGATCCCAGGCATGACCTGAGCTGAAGGCAGATGCTTAACCATCTGAGCCACCCAGGCGCCCCTGATTAAATAGGATTTATGCAAAGATAATAACATACATTTTTACAGGTTTCGGTCAAAGTCTATCCTAGTTAATGCTTGAATCCTTCTGTGCTGCTAATGAGGTTCCGTAAGAACACTAACTGGGAAGTGTTGGAACCCCAAGGAAATAATGAAAAGGGATATAACATGATTAGAAATATGAGCAGACTAAAACAAAATCAGATTGGACTCAAAACTGAAAGTGAACATTGCTGGTGGGCGTGTAACTGGTGCAACTTTCCTGGAGAGCAATTTTGCAGTATGTATCAAGGTACCTTAAAAACGTTCTTATAGGGGCTCCCAGGTGGCTCAATCAGCTGGGCTTCCAACTCTAGATTTCGGCTCAGGTCATGATTTGGGGTCATGGGATCAAGCCCTGCCTTGGACCCGCACAGAGTCTGGTTGAGTTTCTCTCCCTATGCCCCTCCCCCAGCTCATGGGCACTCGTGTGTGCTCTCTCTCAAATAAATAAATAAATCTTTTTAAAAAATTAAAAATGTTCATATAAAAAAAGTTCCTATCATTTGAATTGTTTTTATTATTTAGAAAATGAATTAAAATTACAAAAGAAATACATGGTAGCCAGAAAAAAAATTACGAAGTGAAAATTATAGAGAAAAT